CAGATTGAGTTGCTCACAGAATCACAGATTCATTCAGAGATCTAGCTATCTGCCATCGGCTAGCTCAGTCTGTCACATAAAATTTGCTTGCCATGAGTCTGCACTGAATAATAGAACCTTCAGTCCTAAGGGAGGTTCGGCTGTGCTTTAAAGCAGAGCCGAAGATCTAAAGACTAACTAGAAAGCAAGAAATGCAACCATTTCCTGCTTTCTAGCTAATCTAAATCTCCCGGCACAGCAGAACAGCTAATGGTCGGAAAGAAAAAAAATTAGCAATTTAGCAGGCAAGTTTGCCAGGTAAGGAGTGAGTGGGGGGGGGGGGGGTGCCCGCGGGCCATGTGGGCGGCACAGCCATGTTTTTCTGAGCAGCCTGGATTAATTGCTTTGGGGGGGCGTGCTCTGGGGTGACATTTCCCTGTGGCCCACCAAAATTTTCTTGTGGCTCACTGGTTGGCGACCACTGGTGTAGAGAGCCAGGGACACAAATAGGAACTTTATTACGGTCACTGACCAACAAAGCACATTCAATAAAACGAACAACACAAAACTACCCTCTAACAAGATGGTCTGTCTGTCTGTGCCAGGGATATGGCCCTGAAGCAAATATTCATAATTGGTTATGTGAACCAGAAGGGGGAAAGTATTCCCTAAATTCCTGGAAGAGAGAAACTAGGCTGACTCCTCCCTGCCTGAGGGGAAGAAATTTTCAAGATTCTGCTATTAGAGCCTCTCAATAAAATAAAATGCTAGTCTTCCTGGAGGGTTAGGTTCCTGGCCCAATCCAACTCATAGGGATGACAGATTACCATTTTTGCATCATTTAGATATTATAAGATGACCTGCTTAAAAAATGTTGCAATTCTGATTTTTAGTCATGCTATTATTACAGCAGATAAATTTATATAAGGAAATAGAATGTTTCACAAAACTTACCTTACAAATAAGCAATGCTTTGGGCTTCAGTCTTGTCTTGATTTTCTTACTAAATCTGCATAAATTGGCTTCTGCAACTGACATCAACCCATGTTAAATGGTCATTTGCCCTATAATAAAAGCTCAGATATAAGACTAGGGATATAGCATACTCAGCCTGAATTTAAAAAGAGAACCATAATTACAGAGAAAACAACAGATGCACAAGTGCTTAGCGAAGTGCTTAGAGAAAGAGGTCCTTCACTAATGTTTTTATTAGATGGATCATTTCTATTCTACACTAGTTTCTAGTGTTCAATCACAAGTGTGTTCCACATTGCTTTCAGTCAACTTAAATAAAATATGAAAATTTGTTTTTTGCTTATACAGATATTCTGTCTATAATTTACCTACATTTCCTAAACTGAATACAGTAGCTCAACATTCAGAAAAGTGGATAATCAGAAATGTTAATTGTTTACCTTTTATCCATTCAAGAAGCACAAATGTGAGTATGTTTATTTTCAGCCTGAACCAAATTAAATGGTCCAGTATCCTTTGAACTAGGCTGGTGTCCAAGCCTCTTTAAGTACTATGGTAACTGGAAATTAGCATACATTAATTTCTATATTGCACTATACAAGTCAAAACACTATCATACAACAGAGACCTGTACTACGCTTCAGTTTTAGAAGTATTCCAGATTAAAGTAATGACCTAGTACTTTAATTCCCAATTAAAACAAATCTGATTATTAAACATGAGTTCATTCTCTTGCAGTGACCGAAGTATCTAGCCTCTTTGCCATGTGTAGAGTGGGAACTAAACTTAGTAAGTTTTTGCAGGATGCCAACAAGACTACAAAGCATGTTAAAAGTACTATAAAATGTATTATTTATACAAATTTTGAACTATATATTGAATTTATATATACTGCTATCTGTAGTGTCCTAGATAAACAGAGTGAAACACCTGTTTTAAAGTTTTAAAGCAGCCTCATTCTCTGGAAAGCTTGCATGCTACTTCAAAGGCAATTCAACTGCTTTAATGCTTTAAAGACAGGTTCATTATACTGTCAAACATCTCTTCCAAATGCTTGTATAGTCCTAATAAAGAAGAGCAACACTGACTTTCCAAAAATTTAATTATGAATTTACACTAATGGCAGGTAACATTTGTGTGCAGTTGCTAAATTCATTTTTAGGATCAGAAAAGCATTTTGGTACTCCTTTTATATATGATTGCTCACTATCCCTAAATCCAAATAATTCAGCATAATCCAAATTGCAATGATGGAAGAATAACTTTGAGATATAAGCAGGTAAAGTTCATATGATCATTTACTGTCACAACAAAAATAACTGGTTGCTAACAGTTATGTCATAACTGTAAAATTGTAATTCTTCTATCAGAAGAATGTAGAATTGCAAAAAAATATATTAATACCAGTGGTGGGATTCATTTTTTTTTTACTACCGATTCTGTGGGCAAGGCTTGATGAGCATGGCAGGGGAAGGATACTGTAAAATCTCCAGTCAGAGGTGGTATTTTCCAGTTCTCCCAACTACTCAAAATTTTCGCTGCCGGTTCTCCAGAACTGATCAGAACCTGCTGAATACCACTTCTGATTAATACCTAAATCAGGGGTAGTCAACCTTTTTATACCTACTGCCCACTTTTGTATCTCTGTTAGTAGTAAAATTTTCTAACCGCCCACTGGTTCCACAGTAATGGTGATTTATAAAGTAGGGGACAAAACCCCCACCACCCACCATGAAAGCTGGAATGCCCACTAGTGGGCAGTAGGGACCAGGTTGACTACCACTGACCTAAATCAACATTTTCTTCATGTACATTATTTTCAAATATTTAGGCTATTTTTAAGAAAAGTGATAGGAAAAAGAGCATCACCTACAGGTCAAACAGTTGTCAGCAAGTTTCTTCTTCTATAATACTTGGAGTAAGAAGTTGAAGCGCTTTGTTTGAAATACTCCATGTCCTTTCCAAAATGACACATCTGCAGTAAATGGGTGGTTTTGAGTATTCTGAGCACACTTTGAAATGGCTCTGTTCAGAGTGCAAAACACTTTACACTTAAAAACATTTACAAACATTTACAAATGTCAGAGGTTTCGCACTCCAAAAAACTGTGTCATCTTCAAAAAGATATTTAAAGTTCAAAGCAGTTAATTTTTAATTGTTTATGTAGTATGTGGGTCAGTTTTTATCCCTCCATTCTGTAGATTTATAGGGATAGCAATTAATCTAAAGAATGCTTTCATGTAAGCTATTTTTGTGCAACCAGTTTTGTGTGCGTGTGTGTTGGAAAATACAAACAAAACTGCAATCTAATTCAGTTCTGGTGTTTCCCTTTCAGCCCCTAATCTTAACAGGATGCCTTGTAGCAAACTTTGTAGCTGTTACTACAACTGTAGCTGCAGACTTTCACACATGGCATGGTTAAGTACCACCTTTCCGTAAAGCTGTCTATCCATCTCCCAAAACTACTTGCCACATATTTCCTGGTAGCAGTATTATCTTATCCATCCCACCCCATTGCAGCTTTTTAATTTCATAGATTACCTATTTAAGCACAGATATATAGGCTCCTCTATTACATAGTATAAAACTGTCCTAGGTTGATATACCCATAATCCTCAATAAGTTCAAATTCTGATTTTTCCCCTCGCAATTCAAAGAGAATCTGTCAACTCTTATATTAAACATGTACTTAGCAATTATATATTTCACATGACTGCTATAGGACACTGTCCATTTCAATCATTCCTGTGGAAATAAGTATTATAGTATTGTGTTGCAATTGTGATGTATAACACCATAGTATATCTTTTTTTTTATTAAGATAATTTTTGGCATTGTTAGGGGTCTCTTATGATAGAATAAAAATGAAGATAGAAAACAGGGATCTAAAAGAAATGTAGAAAATTTCAGCAACATGGTGTGAGGCTTTATTTCAGAGAACAGTATGGATCCAGGCATTCAACCTACCTAACCAAATAACCTAACAGAAGCAGATTTTCTTTATATCATTGTATAAGAAAGTTATTCACACAAGAAAATAAAAGTGTTGTAAGTTGTTAAGCCAGATTCTGCTGCAAATGTCTGGAAATGTTTCATATGAACGCATGCTATTCCAAGAATCTAGTAGAGAAGATAAATTTAACAAAATGGAGATGACATCATTTTTCCTCTTGTCTTTTGGATATGATGAGATGAAACTCAGCTCCTCTTTACCTAGTCATATCAACTCCTTGCAATCCCATCTAAACCACAGAAACTTCCTCACTAGCTCACAGTACAGCCTGAGGGCAGCTCTAGTAAGCGGCATAGTAACAAGATGAGAATCCATCAGCCTGATTATCTCAACATTGTACCTCAACAGATCAACTACCCCAGCTCTGCTGCTATTTGTAACAGAGCTACTCTACCTAACAATAGAAATAACCCAGGTACAAAGAAAGTTAGAATATTTTGGACATGTGATGTGACACCCAGAAAAATACAGCATACTTCACTTAATCCTCCAAGGAAAGATTGAAGGCAAATGAGGTCCAGGCAGAACATCATGGCTTCAAAACCTAAGGGACTGGTTTGGACAAAACTCAACAGCACTTTTTCATGCAGCTTTTGATAAAAATAGGATCGCCAACATGATTGCCAACATCCGATGACAGATATGGCACAAGAGGAAGGTACAAAGACAAGGACCTTCCCCAGACTGGCCAACAAATCAGATCCGTAGGGTTTTTTGCCTCGCAGCCTTCAACTTCTATACAAATCTTTGCCTTCCCATTGTTCAGCATCCGACTTTCTTGTAAAGCAGACACCCAATTATTGCAATTGTTGCAAAAAACATAGGTTCTTGTCCTGAGTGTTGTGCTCTGTCATTCTGAATTTTCCATGATGGAAAAATTCAAATTATAAGCACTGCTTAAAAGAATTCAGCTTTTTTTAAATAACAAAAGCTGTAAAGAAATCCATTATACAAGGGCTCATTTTATAAAAACAATTGATTCGGACAAGGAATCTACTTTCCAAAATTAGGGTATAGGTGAAATAATCTGTATATATACGCATTTTTATTAATCAGAGCATCCTCACTGATTTCACAAAGGCAGTGGGAAACACAACGATGGAATATATTTCATGACAATTTTGTACTTTAACAAAAATATCAGCATAAAGGGTTTTATATACAGATAGTTTTCAAAAAGTAAAATCTTTAGTATATTTTATACACTGGGAAATAAGACATTTGAAAAGTGAGAGCCTGGAGCATGAAGTAGTCAAAAATTCTGTTCCAAGTTTTTAAAAAATATAAAGAGGATCAACATTGTAGTTCAAACATTTTCTATTTTCTATCCAGCCATGGAATCTATGAAAGCCATACATGAAATATCAAAAATAGATGAGTATCACTAATCATGGATGCTTGTATTTACACTGCAACTAAACTAATTATCAACTGTTTTATTTACAAACCTCTATTTTTTTTCCCTTGGTGAACATCATTTAAAATTTTAAAAACCATAGAAATGTCAGTTAGAAACCTTATAATCCAAAAATTCATACTAGTTTAGAACCATTCAAATTGCGTGAAAATAAATGTATGAAAATGCATATTTTAATACAAGCACTCTCACAAAAAACTGAAACTTAAGAGTGTGGATCCTTCCCTTTTAGCAATGTTGTAAGACAAAAATCAATCAATCCATTAAAAAATAATTTAAGAAACCTTTTAATATATTTTGCTAATTAGCACTGAACTAGTTGCTATGCTTTTGAATCTGAAAGTTATCTAGTAGTTAGCAAAATGTACTTATATACTTTTAACTAAAAATAGAAACTCTCTTTGGAATACCTGACTGGCAGATGGTAAAAGTGGCTTGTAAGGTGCTACAAGACTCTAAAACATACTGTCTTTAACAATGAGAGATCCAAAGATGGCTAGGAGCAAGGGGGAAGTGGAAGACAAAAAGGAGAAAACAGGCATAGAAAATAGATACAGGGATTTCAGTAAGCAGTTAACATGTCAACAGAATGTTAAATAGAAACAAAGACAAGAATGAAAAGGAGTTAAAAAATATCATGGTTCTATGTACATCTATATATAAACCCACAATGAGTTTAACTGCATTTACATATAGGTAAATGTGAATAAAATTGCAGCTGAATATTTGCTATGAAAGCTGAGCACAGGAAAAAATTGGAAATAAACTTATCAGTTATAAATAGGAAAAAACTGTTTTAAAAAAAGGAATTCTTATAACAAACTATACTACTTGAACTTTCAACTTAAAATTTAGTGGCTTCATGCAATGCTGAATCAAAATATTTTCCATAACTAAACTTTAAGATCTGTAAGTTTGCACTAACCAAAAGATCAACCTTTTTGGTTTAAAAATGCAAATACTATATTTCAAATACAGAAACCAAAGATTAAACACATCTACAGTAATAAAAAAAACAACCCAAAATAGCAATGGATAAGTGGGTGCTTTTGACTGGATAATGGGGGAGTAAATGAGAAAGAACCTGAATTTGTAGAAGCAATAATCAGTGAAATCTGACGATATATTAACTTATATTTGGTTCATGGTACATCACAGGTAATGCTCAATTTACAATTCATTCAGTGACCGTTCAAAGTTATGACAGCACTGAACAGAGGTAAGACCTGTACCTGAAAGTATGGCTTTTGCAGTGTCCCCCTCCCCAAGTCACAATATCAAAATTTAGATTCTCTTGCACGCAACTGCAAGGGCACTTTAACTGTCCCACCCACCTCCCTCCCTCCCATCTATGCTCTTTTGGGTACCCTGCATTCTATCACATATCCCTCCTATCCCACCCCCCCACCCCCGCTCAGAGCTGACCTTTGCCATCTCCTTCTTGGTGGCTAAGACCCAGACACAAGGCAAGGGTATAGCCCTGGATGTATGCAGTGAGGTCGGCAGGATGGTGGAACTTCATTTGCTTGCCAGGCCCAAGCAGGTCCACCTGGGGAGGAGGAAGCAGGACAGCAAGGTACAGCGCTCTCTATATCTGAGCGAGGCAGGAGACTCAGCGGCAGTTCCTCAGGGGAAGGTGGAAGCTATAGGGGAATTGCTGTATGGGGTGATTGCAGAACTGGAACAAGGGTAGGGAGGCAGGCTTCCAAGAACTGTAGCATGCAGTCTGCAGCTGATGGCACAGGTGCAGCTGGAAATGGGTCAGCAAGGGATGGAGGAAAGGTCCAGAATTGACAGAATCTATTTTCAGGTCCTCTCTTCTTAGTCCAGCCTTTTACTGCAAAGGCAGTGACATTTGTAGAGTAGAGGGAATGCCTCATTCACAGGCATTCTGACCAATTAGTTACAATTGTAGGTATGATAATCAGAAAATATCCATATATCAAGAAGTAACAAAAGCAATGCAGTGTAGCAATCTGTTGTTTTATTGGTGAAAAATGCCTTTGTATATCAAGCACAGACAAGAAATTATGCTTGAAGGTGATGTTCTGCAACATGCTAGCTTCTCTTCCGCCACTCCCCACCCCCGCCACCCTTAATTTTTTTTTAAAAATTAGGTAGTATGCTTAGTGGGCGTCAAGGTATAACTTGCACCTGCACCATGCCGAGGACCTAGAAAATAGTGTGCCAGGTGGTAAAAAAACTCAACAATAAATATTTCCTTTTTTCTTGACATTTATTCAAAAGAGAAAGATGAAGCTCTTCATCTTTTCTAAGATGCTTTAGTTCAAAATGCTTTAGGAATCACATGCCCTCCCAAGCTTCAAGAAGTAAAGGGTAGCCTAAGTTTTTTCTGAGCAAAATATGTTTGGAAATATGCATGGCTAATTATTATTAACCAATTGGTAAGTCTGCTGCTCATGCATATGAGAAGCAATTTAAGAATTTAAAAGTCCTAAGAGAAAAATATTCCAAGTGACATAGATAAATCCATGTGCTACGTATACATTACCCTGAATGCATCTACATAGTCTATCTTAAGAAAAAGGAAAAAAACATGAATATAAAATGGAAAAATATTAAACTGCTCAGGCTATAAAAGCTTAGGGAAAAGTGTCATCTATAGAAAATGACAACAGATGAAATAATTTTTTTAAAACTTCCCACTATAAAAATAAATTGGGATGCATAAAAATTAACAAATAATTTCAAGAAAAAATAAATACTGCCCATTACTCAAGATGATACGCAAATGACTAGTGGGTTTCAAGTAAATATTTTTCTCTCTCAGCAAATTCAAAGAAACAAAACCACATTAATTCACAATTTAATGGAAAAATAGAAACTAGATGTAATTAAATGACAGTACAAGTCACACTCGAGATAAGATTATGACTGCTCGAAGTATGAAATTAATGACAGGGAGTTCTTGGCCACTGCCAAATAGGATTTTAGATGCAATGGTGTTTGGTCCACTTCTTCCAAGAAAGTTATGCTCCCAAAAAATGCAGCAGGCACGCTTAGTTTCCTCTTTGTGAGATTAGAATGTAGTTTATCAATCATTTTCTTCACAACTCAGTTTTATCCCATTAATTACTGCTCTGTCTCTGGACTTTTGGACCAATACTTTGAATTCCTTCTTCTGGATTTGGCCGCTTCCCAGAGCACACTCCAACACTAAGTGATATTCTTCCTAGATTGAAGACAATTGAAGACAAACATGTACTTTAATGTCATCTTTGACTTTCACTCAACTCAAATCATAAATTGTGCAAAAATCATACCTTGTTGCACTAAGTGTTTTTTTTTACTGTCCCCGTGAACATAATGTAAAATTCCGCTGTTCCCTTGAGGGTAACCTATTAAAAAAAGGTGTTTTAATTTCTGAACAAAAGTATTTAGAAATCAACATTAAACTTTTTTCTTATAGTTTTAATAAGTATTACTAAATAATATTTAAGTATTATTAATTTTTCTGTCAGAGAGTTTGAAATATTGTACTGAATTTATTAGAAGTCACATTTTCTGTCACAAACAAATACCACCCTTAAATTATGTCTGAATATGAAATCTAACCTTATCCCTAATCATAAGTACAAAATAAAGCAAAAATTATCTGGGAGAGGACCCATAAGATATTCACTATAATTTCTTATTTTTGTTTCCTTGCTTAATAATGTCCCATTCTGTATCTTTATTTAATATTGTTAGAAAGCAAAGGCTCCCACTTTGTATTCTTAAGCTTAGTTTTTATTTGATTTATAACATACCCTCTACAGAAAATAAGTAAATCATAGATATAAAAATCACAGTGTACTAAGCATTACTTAAAGCAAGTATCTCTTTGAATGATTCAGTTATCTGGTAAACATTACTCTTGGCTACCATAAAATAATGAAGAGCAATTAATTAATTAAACTGCCTAACCAGTTCTAACACAACTCCTTCATTTGGGGTCCATTTAGAGGTCTTCATAGTAAAGAGTTGTTGTCAAGCCTACCTCACTTCTTTGGAGATCAGCTGGACTTTACTGTTTTAGGTATATTAATTGCTTTAGTAATTTAATGGTTTCCTCAGAGCAATTCCTATTTTTACTCACTATCCTTAAGCATGCCTATGCATAAACTACACCGCTGAAATCAATATATCTTGATTTGACAAGGGGATTTGAGTATCGCACTTTATTATTTAAGGGTGAAGGAACAGTGAATTCAGTTTTGAATTTTCCCACCTTGCTGGTGAATTCCACTTGTTCCTTTATGAGTCTCTCCAAGGGTGCATGATTGAACATTCCCTGTATGTCCTTCACTGATTCCCATTTGAGTACCTGAAAGAAAGCGAATATATATTGTTTTCAGGATTTAGAATTACACAAAAGGATATATTTAACATCATGCACAACTTATATTGTATAATGTAAATAAATCTAAATGAAAATTTCACATGTGGAAAAAGTAAGTACACCCCAATGTTTATCACTATAATTGATACCTATAATTAAAAACAGATGTACCAGATCAGATCCAAATGTTTACCATATTGTTAGAGAGGATCTGGGAGGTACCTGTGTTATCACATATTTAGTTGGCTGGTGGCATCACTATGCCTGGACTGAAAGAGCTCCGAGGCCTGCACAAAGATGATTTAAGATGCCTATGAGTCTGGGAAGGGATTTAAAAAGATTGACAATCATTTGGACATCAATCCACTGTCCAGAATATTATCTACAAGTGAAGAAGATTTCAAACAACTGCCAACCTGTCCAGCCCATCTCAGCAAGTTCAGCCTAAGAGCAGAATGGAAGTTGTTGCAAAAAAAAATCCCTAAGAACTCCAGAATTTCATCACATGATTTAAGGATAGCTCTCATGATTGATGTCAAGAGTGTATGGGTCTACCATTAGAAAGGAATTGTACCAGGAGGAAATGTTTGATGTCAAGAAAGAACTTCAGGGCAAGAACCTAAGTTTGTTCATTAACATCCAGATAAACACTAGGACAAATGGAACAATGTGCTCAGGACAGAAGAGGCAGCATTATTAGGACACAGCACCAGAAAACATGCACTGTCAATGCAACAATTAGACCCTTGTCCCTCATGGCTGGTGAAAGCCTCCAAGATGATGACCATTAGGCGAGTTCATGCAATGATAAATTCCTCATTTCAAGAGAAGCCATTCCTAGGACCTTTTAAGGAGGCTCTGGTTTGTCTTCTCCTTTATAAACCATCACTCGACTTTGGCTTATTATTATAATGCTGGTAGTCAATCAAATAGATTTTTATTTATGCTTCTTAGTTTTTCTAACCATAGGAGTAACTTACCACTTGTACCAATACAACCAGGAAGATTTTCACTTGAAGAATATCTCATTAGGCCACCATTTCCGTTTCCATTTCCGTTTCCGTTTCCATTAGAAGGCACTGAAGCAAGGAGGCCTAATCAAAATAAAATGTAGTGGCCTCAAACATGGAGTTGATTTTCTCAATAAGAATTAGAGCATTATTTTTAAAGAATCAATCCCATGCAAATACAGACTATATTTTAAATTAAATATCAATAATGCTGGAACTGTTACTCAGGAAGATGAAGACAACAATCCCACAAATAGTAATTAAAATGTTAGTAATAAACTTAATGTGAAAATATAGAAAATTAATATGAAAATAATAATTAATAATAATAATTAATATGAAAATATAGATAATTCTCCTTAAATAATAGTTAATTGTATTTCTAAAACAAAAGGCCAATGTTTTTTTCTTTTTTGCAATGTTCTGACCCTGAAAGGACCAGAGTCTATGTGATATTAATATTAATATATTAGCCATTAATTAATGTTAAAAGCTGCAACTTTTAAAAAGGTGAAATTAGAGAAAAGTGCAAAAGAAATAATTTTTCATTCTTCAGTCAGCCAATTATAAATATTGAACCAGGATTTCAGCAATTAAGTATGACTTTCAGGCCAAAAATCATGAAAGAAAAGTAAAATCAAAGCTTTCCATCATACCCAATCCTCTGTATCGGGATAATTGTTGGTAGATTTGTTTCATCCTTTCAATATTCAATCGACTCGCCTCAGCATGATTTACCATTGGCTTGGGGTAATTTATTCCTATTATACATTTTGCAGCTTTCTGCACTCCCTCAGGGGCATTCCAAGGATCATATATATACTTTGCAGGAAAACCTCTGAGTATAGGTAGATACCGTCTTAATTAAAAAAGAAAAGAAATTTTCTATCATTTTTATGGTTCATCATAATAATCCAGTATAATGTTTCATTTTAAACTAATGATGGTTCTTTACCTGATGTAGTCCCCGTTAGGATCAGTTCTCCTGCCAAAACCCACAGGACAGTAACAGTGGAAAAATTGCTGGAAAAATGAACTACAAGAGAGCCACATCCAACTGCCTGCATTCACACTCCAGTCTGCATCAAGAAGCAATTCTTCAAATACCTACAAAAAAAAAAACCCCAAACCAAAGAATTAATGTAACCCTATAATTACTCTTCCTCCTCCCCCCCCCCCCCCCCCCCCCCAAGAATACAGTTTCAAGTAACAATTTGTCGGCATGCTGGCTTTTAAAATGTCCATGTCTAAGCACATAAGGAGAAAGTTGAGGAGAAATACATACTCCATACAGTAAACTTTTGAAATGTGCAAAGTCAGCAGACAAATCATTTATCTGCAGAAAGGGCTCAAGGTACAGTAGCTTACATATTTATAAAAACAGATAATGCAAATACATTGCTGGAAACAGAATATTTAAAACTAGTCGCATAAGCAATTAGTCACAGTATTACAGGACAATATAATCCCAGAGATCGCCCTTTTTGTATTCTATCGAACACTTATCATACATGTTTAATGTGTTAAAGTGAGTGTGGGACAGATTAGAGAAAACAAGGAAATATTTTCAATGCATATTATAATGCATAAGTGTTGACTCACCACTAGGTGTTGCTACTGAGCTAAACTACTTTATATTATATAACATTTACTGCTGGTGACAGAAGTTATGTGCATTTAATCCTATTGGTTCTGCATTAACTACACTTGCAGCAAACTCTAAAACTATATTTTCTTACAACTCCGGCCAAGAGTCTTCAACGTGGCTTCAAAATTGCAGGTAAAGGGTGGTAACTTTTTTTTTTATTAAAGAAGCAAATATGTCAAGACTTTAATAATAAAAAGATTTTCATACACCCTGCAGAAGAATCAACCGCAAACTGGCTATGCAGTACAACTTTTCTTAACGTTATTTAGAAACAAACTGAAATATCAAATCTTAAGGACAATACCAAAATTTATCAATGAGAAGAAAATTCTACCTTCATTCCTTCCTCCCAGCTAATCCACAGATCACCTCGAGTTAAGAAGCATGCCACAGCATGTCTGGCAAGATGATGAATCCAGCCTTCCTGACGCAGCTGGGTCATAATAGCATCAATCCAAGGGAATCCTGTGTGACCCTCTGCCCACTTGGCCAAAGCCTCCGGATTTTTGTCCCAAGGAATCTGCACGCATATGGGATTGCCTTCCATTTTATCAAATCGTGGATTATTAGTTGCTGCTGTGTAGAAGAATTCACGCCACAACAATTGTCCATACAGGGAAAGAGGAGGAGAGCTGTTCTTCTTCACCTGGAAATCATAGCATATGATTAAAAACTCACTTTTTAAATACATGTCTTAAATACACACAGATAAATCCAGGTGGTCAATTCATACCTTTTTGTACAAATCTGTTAATTTGAAGTAAAATAGACGGCAAGATAAACAGCCAAAACGTAGATAAGGACTAAGTCCTGTTGGACTTGCAAGAAGGGAATTCGCATTCATTCGAGGTCGTTCAAAGTTTGCAACCCAAGCCTTAAAAAGAAAAGGGGGCAGGAGAGGGGGGTATTGATATTTATTATTTGTTGAGATATGTTTCTTAACAGCATTTTAAAAACCAAGCTTGCAATGGCTATGATCAGTTTCTCAAAATCGCAGGATTACTTATGCATATTATTTTACACATCTTACTATTTATCATGTATTGAAGATGTTTAGTAAATTTATACTGCAGCACTTCACTTCTCCAGTATTTGAATACAAGCCTAGAAAACTACTTTACTGAAATAAAATTTGTATAGTGATGCTCATTCTATAAACGGTGTGAAGTATAGCTTGTTTCTTCAGGGGGTCTATATCCCAAATTTTCTGTTTGATACTCTATGTTGATTTAAAAGCCCAAGGGATACAAAGGATGGATAGGTGGGATTGCAAGGATCTATACCAGGGGTGGGCAAACTTTTTAGCTCGGGGGCCTCATTGACTTTTAAAATTTGACAGACGGGCCGCCACCTGGTGTCGAAATGCCTGTCATTACAAGTCAAAATCAAATGAATGCAATCGTTCAATCATTCACATCAAACCTTAATTCTGTACCAATCTTCGGCGGGCCAGATTAAAAAGACTAACGGGCCGGATGTGGCCCGCGGGCCGTAGTTTGCCCACCCCTGATCTATACAGTATAAAAATGTTAATTGTATAGTTGATACGTAAAATTATAGCTAATCAAATATTAAAGCATGCAAAATTATTTCTCAATAAAAATTATAGTGTTCAATACTTGACAACAAGCACACAGAAGATAGCACTCTAGTTTGTTTTATTAGCATTCTAGCTCAATTTTTTTCATGCCCCAATAGAGTAATCAACTACATTTATTTCTTGCTTAATGATCATTTGTTCAATGACTGAAATTTTGGCACTGAACAAAGGGAGTTATGACCTGTACCCAGAGTTGTAATCCCTGAAGTACGCCCATGGTCATAAATGTGGGCAATTGGCAGTGTGCCTGCTCTTATAACCTCTACCTGCCTACAACCCCCAGCATCTGGGCCATCCTGCACAGCAGTGCTGGCCTGAGCCTGAAGCTTTTAGGAATCTTAGCCAGCAGCCATCACCATTGCTACCACTCAGAAATGCTGCTTCACACTGATTTCTAAGATGTGCATGCCTTAGGAAACAGCACACTTGCTCCCATTGCCCAGCATTCCCAAGAATCTGTCACATGTCACTTGCCTCCAGGCAGTTTTTTTCCTGGTGTTGAGAGGCCCACACAGATTATGTAATGCAGCTCTTGGTCACACCAGGTCTTCTTTCCTGAAGCCGCCTTGGAGCCACTTCTATTGTTGGGGTGGTGCTAGAGCTAAAGTCAAGGCCTGGAGCAGTGGCAGCCAGCTGGCAGCTCTACTTGAGACTTAGGCCTGGCAGTTCTGCTGATGAGTGCCACACTGCAAGGCTGGGCTGAGGTAGCTGTGACTTTGAATTGTATTGCAGGACACACACACACACAGCTCACACCCTCCACCACCTGAGGAACCCCTGCGCTCCATTTAATGACTGCAACTATGAATGCCAGGATTGTAATTGTTGAGCAAAGTGGTCATGTGAGCATCTCACTTAACAACCAGAACAACTTATGACTGATATTCCGGTCTTAACTGTGCTCATCAGTCAAGGATTACACTTACACTTGGCAAACAACAAAGGTGAGCAACATACCTTTCTTTCCAAATGTCTTTCCAGTCTCGTGAGTGCTTCTGTTTCTCCTCCTGGCCAAACGGCGGAAGGCAATCCATCTGTATCAAAACCTATAGCACAGAAACCAAAACAAAATATATTAGTCAAATATTATTAGTCAAGCTACAAACTGAATAAGTTATAAAGCTTTAGTACATTAAACAATTATTACACATATTTTCAAAACACTGAACTGGCCCAATGCTAAATTTGCAAGTTAAGATTACTTTGAATAAATAATTATTGAATATTGAATTATTATTCAAATAATTTATTGCTCCTCAGTGCAGTGACAAATATTCTGAAATATCTCTCTCAACTACTATAAATCCTTGGTAAGTTATCGACACCCAATCTGGGAGCAAGTCTTCAAAATTTAACAACCAGGAACTTGCTCTTTTTTCCCTCACGATACAGCAACTATTTTCAATAAACTACATGGTTATTTGGAAACTCTACCGAATTATGTTACATATATATTCTAGAATAATGTCTGTGCAGAAGCATGCATTAATAGACAGTATCAGTTTCTTATAGAGTTTTAAGCAACATTTTAAATGACAAGATCAGGTAATCCTCAACTTACAACCATTCATTTAGTGACCATTCAAAATTACAATGGTACTGTCAAGTGACTTATGACCATTTTTCAAACTTATGACTTTTTTAGCATCCCTGTGGTGACGAGATCAATAAACTTGCCAACTGGCACGTATTCACGATGGTTGCAATGTTCCAGGGTAATGTGATCACCTCTTGCAACTTTCTGACAAGCAAAGTCAATTAGGAAGCCAAATTCACTTAACTGTGTTACTAACTTAACAACCGCAGTGATTCACCTAACTGTGGCAAGAAAGGTCATAAAATGGGACAAAACTCACTTAAGAACTGTCTTGCTAAGCAACAGAAATTTGGGACTCAATTGTGGTCATAAATTGAGAAGTACTGTTATTATCATTCAGATCCTGCTATTAGACCTTACTATCTTCTATATGCAAACTAAGCAGAGTCTCCTACTTATGACCACATATTAGAAGACACGTTTTTTAAAAATAATGCTCAAGCAATGGGGATGATATATCTTGGATTACCTAGTTCTTCAAGTGATGGAACTCCATATTTTTCATCATGATCATCAGAAACTGGGGTGGTACATTTTGACATGACTTCTTCAGTGATAGTTTCTACAGGCATCTCCAATGGTTCCATTCTACTTATTAGAGTTTGGAATCTCTTATAAGTAAGAGGTGGCTGGCCTCCATTTAATTCTATAATTCTACATAACAAAGAATTCAATGCTGGTTTATACTTTTAGAAACAGTATGTATGTTTATTGTGCAACTTTATAGTACATTTCTTACCTATATTACATTATGACATTTACTTCATATAATGAATAATTAGTAACTTCTCATTAGAAATATAGAAAAAACTAAGGGGTAGAACTAATACAGCAAATCCAATCATTTTAATACAAATAATTAATAAAATGGTCAATAACAATTTGATTACTCTGCAAATGAATGAACAGATCACTGGAAGGGTTACTTAACAATTGGTTACAAAGAAATTACTAGAAGAAAAAAGTATCTGACCAGCATTCAAATACTAAAAAAGCAGTTGAGCATAATTTTCTATATTCTTTGTGCATAAGTATTGTGGTGAATATTGTGGTGAATCCATGCCCTGTGAATTACATGTAGCTCATGTCCTTCTCATGGCATCACAAAATGAAGAGATGATGTCTATTTCTATTCCATATTTTTGACTCCCCCTCTCCCAAATAAAGGTCCCTTTCTAGAATCCAGAATCCCTTTTTAGGCTCTTGGAAGTGATTTCAGGACTGATATGGTAAACCTGACACCTTTTGGTTTGAGGGAGTGGATGGATATTTATATCCTGGGGAACACAAGAATCCATGAATTCATGGCCTTCATAAATCTTGGGTCTGGCACAGATGCTTTTAACTTCCCATTCCTTTCAGAGCACTTGAAAATTGATCTAGATGAGGATGAGATTATCCCCATATGTTCCTGTTTAGGGTGGCAAACTGCCTTTCAGGAAGTGACAAGGTCCTCCCTTTAGCTGTTGTGATCAATTTATGTAGGATTTTACTGACAGTCAACTCTCTCAGTTTTGACTCTTCATTAACAGAGTTCAATTGACAACAGGAGCATCTGACTGTATTATCTAGGGTTTTTGTCAAGCCTGTGAATTCCAAGGAAATATAGGGTGCTAGTATGATCGCCATCACTTTTTTAGACGTGAAGGGGTTGGGGGGAGAATGACTGACTGGATCTGAAAGCTTGTCAAAATTTCTCTTGAGGGGTTTTTTTCCAACAGCCTCGAAAGAAGCTATATGCAGCCTTTTCTGGAGACCCTCTTTGAATCCAGTTATTCTTGACAACTATTACCTTTAAAGTACTGGTTCTGACTTATGAAGTCCCTCAGGGCTTGGCATCTAGATATATCCAGGGCTACATTATCCAGTCAAAATTGTCCTGAGCAGCAAGACTGCACTGAAAGAAGCTCCTGCTGATACCCGGATTTGGTTGGCTGTTACCAGGAAGTGTTGCTTTCCTGTTACAGTGCCAGTTCTCTGAAACAGCTTCCCTACTGACTTCAGGCTTGCCTCCTTCCCTGATAAGTCAAGAAGCAATTAAAGACAGCTCTTCCATAGGGATTTTTCCTATCGTACAAATATCACCAAATTTTCTGCTATGGTTTCACATCTCCAATGTTTAAAATATTTTTATTTTTAAACCTATCGTGACCATTTATTGTTGCATTTGTCTGAATCCTGTTACTATGGATATTTTAGTGATCTTTATCATGGATGTTTTACGTTTTTACCGTAAACTGCCACGAGTCTATTTGTTTCGTGTGTGTGTGTGTGTGTGTATGTGTGTGGTGCTTAAACTGCTAAATTTGATTGGCATCCAAACCATCAATTATGCTACTAAATAATTTTAAAAATTGATATATTACAGGAAAATCCATGGAGCAGAGTCAAAGCTGGGGGAGCCAGCAAGGGGCCGGCTTTTATATACTGGCAGACTCAGCTCTATGTCATGGGAAGGAGTCTACCCATCCTGGACTCTCGACGCAGCATCGATGAGAAAACATTATTTTTCCCTTTTACACTTAAGAAATTGGTAACTTACTTGTCTAAGTCATATAAGGTATGCGATATCCGTACAATGACTTCCAATCCTGCTTCAGTGGCCAATTTTTTAATTGCTGCATCTCTCTCCTTTCCAAATGGTTCAGAGTCATATTCAATAGAAAGTTTTGAAATATTCCATTCCTATAATTTCAAGTAATAATGTGATTTTAAAAACTGCAATTGTCCCAAGTCAAGGAATAAGAAGGAATAATAAATGCTAATATATCCTGGATGCATAAAAACAAACGGCTGTATTCAATAGCAAATACAAAAAAAATATTCTCAGTGTACAAGCCAAGAATTCTGCTACAAAGGGTTTTAAGACCTTAGTTCTCATTTTTCAAATATGACAAAACTGGTCCCATAAAATGAATATTATATTAAACTATACAGTGATTTATAAATCCTTAGAGAGGTTTAGCCCCACTTTCTTAGCAGTGAGCAGACTTTACCATTTATAATTCAGTATCAATATAAGATCTCTGAGATTCCAAACTATATTTTTATTATTCCCCTCTTAAAATGTCTATATTCATAAAACTGGATTATATGCAATTAAGTCTTTCCTTCCCTCTTTTACAGGTGTACTCCTACAGTAGGCTATTTTTGTCTTAATTTGAATAGATTTTACCAAGAGATAACAAGGTGAAAAAATGAAATAGAACAGAAAGCTTCATGAATACACATTATTGCAACAAGGTACTGTAAGTTTAGATGTTTGCTTCATCTTTATAGATGGTCACATCAGTGCAATTTACAGATGGTAAATATTTATATCTAATATATCTAACCACATTATAATATAAACAGATAAAAAATTTAAAAGTAAGCAATCTGACTAGGTTTTTATTTTTAATTCCCAATGTTGTGATGCAAATTTTAGCCAAATTATGTCCATTAAGTATGCCCAATATATATTACTTTTATGTATAATCATAGTATTCAAGTAAGTTGAAATACTTTTGTACTTGCTTCAAATCATCTTCAAATTTACCTTGAAAAGCCTAGGAAATACGTCTGCAGGTTGTCCTCTAATCACAAATAACCGAGAGTTTAGTTTTCGTAAGTTGGCATCCAAGTCCTCAAGACACTGAAGGAGAAATCTGTAAGGAGGATGACATGACGGAATTATGTTTTTTTTAAAGTAGCTTCAAACACAAGATTTGTGCAAAAAGAGTTATAACCAATCATAATAAATTATCTTGGTTCTACAGATTACAGTGGTGTAAAGAGTGTGTGTATGTAACTTCAATAATATATCCTTAAAGAAATCCTTATAAAGACACTGTAATAAGATGATGTCATAATGCTGCTATTATACAAATGGAGGACTACAGCTGAAAGAGTGTGCAAACTTTGATAATGATGTACAGTATTTCCAAGTATTTCAGGTCAATGTACATTAAAACACACTATAGAAACTCTTACAATTCTGTTATCCTCTAAAAAATAAAAATGTTAATTGGAAATTTCTTACTGTATACTGATACTGTACCATGTATCTGTTAATTAGGCTCTCATCTATGCAAAGAAAGAATCTTTTGTTTCTCTTCTATCTCTCTTCATCCCATCCCTAAAACAATGTGCTCCCTATTCATAGTATGTTGCTGTTTGCAATGATTCAACTCTTGTTTTTCAAACACTCTTCAGTTGCACTCATAGTAGTTCTACTATTTTAAAGCGTCTGCCTAGGAAACTGCTATTGTACAAAAATACTGGTTCTAAAGGATTACACATAGCAAACATTGGCTATTATGTAAAAAAATTCTGAAAGAAAAAGGCAATAGCAGTCTCTTAAAATGTTAAATATTCCTTGTGTCCTGTGCTGCTGATCTTCTTGAACCACCACACCTTCCCCACTTCAGTAACAGGTTGTTTACTAGAGCTGTAGAAATCTGAAATCCCTGCAAGGAATTCTAATCTGATTGTGGAAGTATCCATGGTCAACCTCTAAGTGGGTTGTGTGATAGCAAAAAGTTCTGTTGATTTATCTCCCAGACTAAGTAGTTGGAAGAAGACAACTTTGTCCAGCACCAAGAATACCACCTTAATTTCTCATGAACCAATATTGCAGTTGGCATTTGAAAATGAACAAAGGCTGCCACTGCCATTGCTGAAGACTTGAGATTGAGAATATATTCTGATTGTTGGACATCCATGAACTGCAATGGATTTAAGATAGGAATGGAAGTATGCCTATGGAAAGTACTGCCAAACAGACCCAAGAAGCTGATTATCTACAGTATAATAGGAATTGATAGCCATACATTTGGTAAATTCTGCAGTTGTCATTAACCTAAATAGCTCCAAAGTTAATGTAAGGATTAAAAAGAAAAGCTTTACTTTTTGGAAAACATCAAAAGGGTGGATCAGAATGTGGATCCTGGAAAATTAAAGGGCTAGATGGGCTTGAAAACACACTGCTCAAAAAAATAAAGGGAACACTTAAACAACACAATGTAACTCCAAGTCATCACACTTCTGTGAAATCAAACTGTCCACTTAGGTAGCAACACTGATTGACAATCAATTTCACATGCTGTTGTGCAAATGGAATAGACAACAGGTGGAAAGTGTAGGCAGTTAGCAAGATATCCCCAATAAAAGAGTGGTTCTGCAGGTGATGACCACAGACCACTTCTCAGTTCCTATACTTTCTGGCTGATGGTTTGGTTACTTTGGAATGCTGGTGGTGCTGTCACTCTAGTGGTAGCATGAGACCCAGTCTACAACCCACACAAGTGGCACAGGTAGTGCAGCTCATCCAGGATGGCACATCAATGCGAGCTGTGGCAAGAAGGTTTGCTGTGTCTGTCAGCGTAGTGTCCAGAGCATGGAGGCGCTACCAGGAGACAGGCCAGTACATTAGGAGACGTGGAGGAGCCCGTAGGAGGGCAACAACCCAGCATCAGGACCGCTACCTCCGCCTTTGTGCAAGGAGGGACAGGAGGAGCACTGCCAGAGCCCTGCAAAAATGACCTCCAGCGGGCCACAAATGTGCATGTGGCTGCTCAAACGGTCAGAAACAGACTCCATGAGGATGGTATGAGGGCCCGACGTCAACAGGTGGGGGTTGTGCTTACAGCCCAATACCGTGCAGGATGTTTGGCATTTGCCAGAGAACACCAAGATTGGTAAATTCGCTACTGGCGCCCTGTGCTCTTCACTGATGAAAGCAGGTTCACACTGAGCACATGTGACAGATGTGACAGGGTCTGGAGACGCCATGGAGAACGTTCTGCTGCCTGCAACATCCTCCAGCATGACCGGTTTGGCAGTGGGTCAGTAATGGTGTGGGGTGGCATTTCTTTAGGGGGCCACACAGCCCTCCATGTGCTCACCAGAGGTAGCCTGACTGCCATTAGGTACCGAGATGAGATCCTCAGAGCCCTTGTGAGACCATATGCTGGTGCGGTTGGCCCTGGGTTCCTCCTAATGCAAGACAATGCTAGACTTTGTGTGGCTGGAGTGTGTCAGCAGATCCTGCAAGATGAAGGCATTGATGCTATGGACTGACCCACCCGTTCCCCAGACCTGAATCCAATTGAGCACATCTGGGACATTATATCTCGCTCCATCCACCAACGCCACGTTGCACCACAGACTGTCCAGGAGTTGGGGGATGCTTTAGTCCAGGTGTGGGAGGAGATCCTTCAGGAGACCATCCGCCACCTCATCAGGAGCATGCCCAGGAATTGTAGGGAGGTCATACAGGCATGTGGAGGCCACACACACTACTGAGCCTCATTTTTACTTGTTTTAAGGACATTACATCAAAGTTGGATCAGCCTGTAGTGTTTTTTTCCACTTTAATTTTGAGTGTAACTCTAAATCCAGACCTCCATGGGTTGCTAAATTTGATTTCCATTGATAATTTTTATGTGATTTTGTTGTCAGCACATTCAACTATGTAATGAACAAAGTATTTAATAAGAATATTTCATTCATTCAGATCTAGGATGTCTTATTTTTGTGTTCCCTTTATTTTTTTGAGCAATGTATTAACCTTTGAGGTTTATAAAACAATATATGAGGTCTTTAAAATTAATTATTAAGATATCCGTTCTCCCCCGCCCCCCTAAAAAAAAGTGCTGTTGATTGGAAAATGAACAGATAAGAAAGAAATTAAAGGAGAGAACAAAATATTATTCTTAAAGTTGAAAAAAACAACACTATTTGACTATAGAAGATATTAAGGCTATTTGGGAACAATATACTCAGAAGTTAAATACAGGAAGCTACTTACAAGAGAGATACTATGGCAAAGGATACAGAGGAACAACAGATTTTGTTGCATAAAACAGAGACTAAAACTGATTTGAAAGTAAACTTGGAGTTTTAAAAAATTCTGGATTACAAAAGTGAAATGGAAAAAGATGCTGCTGTTCTGAAAATGGATTTTAAACTATGGTAAATGATGCCAAAATGGATTTATAAATGAAATCAATTGAAGTCTTAATAATGAAAGAGGACATACAAATCAGAATAATAAATCAGAAGAGTGCCTTGGAAAGCCTTATCTTGGATTTACAAAAGGAATGCATGAAATCAAGGAAACTCTGGGAAGAGACAAAAGAAGAATTATACTACTCAAGCTGTTTCTGAAAGAAGGAAATAAAATAAGAAAGCAACATGTGGGACATTACTTGATGATGATGGGATTAAAGATCAAGCTTTTAAAAACTAAAAAGGTTTTTTGTAGTTTCTAGTAGCTGTTAATAGGGTTTTCTTTTTACTAAAACTGAATGAGGAGGCTTTAGAGATCTGTTCTAAGTAGAGAGATTTCTTTTGCCTTTTTTAGACTGAGTGATAATTTTGGATTATAAAATTGAAGTTTTTCATTAAGATTTAAATATGTTAATGTTAATATTTTTAGGAACTCTTATTTTGCTAATTAGAACTAAACTATGTCTTTTTCCAATTTGATTATTGATAAAGGTTGAGACATGAGAAGAGGGTTTTTTAATTGAAGCAGTAGAGAAGGTATCAACTTACATTGTGTATAACATTTTCTATGTACACGTCCTCAACTTACTACCTTACAATTGAGCCCCAAATTTCTGTTGCTAAGCAAGACAGTTAAGTGAGTTTTGCCTCGTTTTATTACCTTTCTTACCACAGTTAAGTGAATCACTGCAGTTAAGTCAGTAACACAGTTAAGTGAATCTGGCTTTCCAATTGACTTTGCTTGTCAGGTTTCAAAAGATGATCAAAATGATCTTGGGACACTGCAAATGTCATAAATATGAACCAGTTGCCAGTGTCCGAATTTTCATCACGTGATCATGGGGATGCTGGAAAGGTTGTAAAACTGTGAAAAACAGTCATAAGTCATTTCTTTCGGTGCTGTAGTAACTCTGAATGGTTACTAAATGAACTGTTGTAAGTCGAGGATTGCTGTATTATATAAAGGAAGGAATATATTAATTATGGTCAAAGCTAGGAACAGTAACTTATCAAAAACAAGTACTTATGTTATACTGATAATTTTTGTTCATGTATGCTTTTTACTGGTCCACGAAAAAAAAAAATCTACTGTAATAAGAAAAAGATATATAATTTCAGTCTTCCAAGTACCTTAAACATTCTAAAGACAGCCAGTTTCATAAATCTTTGCTAGTATTACCTTTGGTGTGTCTCTCTTATTCAGTTTTGATACATGATTTCTCAGGGCTTACTTCAATATGAATCAACAGGAAAGTTTTGTTAAATAGGCCGTTGCTCTAGCAACCAGCAAGGCTGTTCAGACTACTCCCGTCACAATGACCTACTTTAGAGATCATGCTACAACAGTTTCATAACTTGAATTTCAAGTTCATCACCACAATGTTTTGAACAGATCAAGCTGCACTTCTACAAAAAAATCAGACATTTGTTAGAAAGGAAATAAAAACTTACTAGTCTACACTATTTCATACAACTGCATCTTTAAAGCTTAACCAATTTAAATGCCAAAAAATACAGGTAAAATGAATTATTGTACTCATAAAAATGCATTATGAAGCTTTTCCATTCATTGTTCCTCCATTCTCACCAACATGTAATCAAAATCAACGTAGTTCTAATATCTACCAACAAATATAGAAGACAGAAGACATCTATG